ACATACTTATCTAAAAATTCAACTCCAAATATCTTCTGCAGGAGCCCAAGCAGCGCTTCAGTATGAAGAAATTTTCACAATTGTTCTGCTATCATCTTATCAAACTTGGCACGGTTTTCGGACACAGTCGATGCCTGACATTCAAAAAGAAGGTGATATAATGTCTCCTCCGCACTTCTGTTAGTAGGAAGGAACGAAGAGTGTTCCGGTGCAGGGAAGAGCGAGCAGCGTTTAGTCTTGCGTTGGCGAGAAGCGGTTGAGGCGGGGTTTAACGGGCACCGTCGGCGATGTTGCGCTCTACTTTTGTGCGATTTGAAGGGGGAGTTGCAGTATTCACAAGAACATTTTGGGGACGGAACGGTGATGGGCGAGTGTCTTTTCTCGTGGTGGGCCGCGAGGGTGGAGTAACCTCTAAAAACTCTCTGACAAGAGGCGCGCACCAATTCGATGCGATTGGTCAAGAATACTTGTGGGGCACTGATTCTTCCAGGTTGGGCGTCGGAAGTCCTGGGCCTTTTGTTTGGTAGTTCTTCTGGGCATTCATCTTCGTGAGTAGCATCCACATGGGTAGCGGCGGCGCGAGGGAGCCTTGGGTGGGTCCTAGGATACTCCATCGCGGGGGGGAAGGAACTCTGAAGTGCGCTGCTTCCGGAGGAAGCAGCGTACAAGGTGCGGGGAATCGTTCTCGGTGGTTCACCGGTGGGGTTACGATCCTCCCGGGGGTCGTCTTGGGTTTGGTCAAGAGACGGGGGATGCAGTGGGGAGGAGGAACCTTGAGCTTCATTGCTCACGATTGAAGCGGCCCCCCTTAGCGCGTGTGTGTGTTGTCCCGCTGCGCACGCGCTACGCCAGAGGCGCCCGGGGACAACAATTTTTATGACTAAAATTTATCGGAATTATGCTTTTTATAAAGAGGGCACGGCGCCAGCACATTTGCTTTTCCCCGGGTTGGCAACGTTTTATCGCATTCCCACCTTCCCCCCCCCCATTCCCCGGGGGGCCACAGCCAAGGTATGTTAGGGGATTTGCCTTCAAATGGTATAGACTTCAGGAGCAAAATATTGCCTCCTCGCGCTGGTGTGGTTATATGTGGTTGAAGTGTTCTAAAAAGGTCCATGCGGGGCGCGACGTCGGTGCATATTGCCTTTGGCGTTCATCCCGCGCCTTGTGGGGTGGGGGCGTCCTTGTCTTTGCTTAGGGGGGTTTGCCGATTTAAATTTGGCATGTAACTCTTGTGAGTGCCTTTTCGCGTTTTTTTGGCTCGTAGCGGAAAGAATGGGGTATGTTTTTCCTTGGGGCGGTGGCTGCCAGGTGCTAGGGGTGTGTTTTTTTTTAGAAAGTTTTCTTTTATTGGATTATTAAATATATAGCGTAGGATTTTTTTCCAAGGGGTCTTTTTTTTGCAACTGGTGCTGTTTTCTGACCAGAATGAAATTGTACTAGGGTAGATTAACCTTAAGGGGCAAACTGCCGCGTCCAATGGTGTTTCTTCCACGCCAGTTATCAGGGGAAGTGGCGAATATTTCTGTGTTTATATTACTGAACGCACCATTTTTGTATATTTTTGATTAAAATAAATATTTTCTGAATTCATATTTCTATTATCACTATTGTTCCTGATAACGTATAGGTAAACAAATAAATGTTTTAAGGGGTTTCTAGTATTGTATCAAGTGTGCTTCTGCATGTATATATACATTTATATGTTGATGAAGTGTCAGGTATTTTCCTTCTTTTTTTTATATAGTATTATCGTTTTTAGACCATCGTATAGTGTGAGTGTTACATATTTCAGAATAACAAAAAAGAAAGGAACATAATGCGTCGTTGCTTTCTTCACAAAGCGGCTCGACGCTTTGCGCTAGTTGGAGTGCAAGCAACCTCTATGGAATTGAGGACATGGTTACTGATCGATCGAAGTATACAGTACAATTCTCTTGTAAAACTTCAGCAAAGCTGTCGCTTCTATTCTGGTGGTGGACACGACGAGCAACCCACGCGCAGTGGACAATACTTACTTGATAAAAACGATGTTCTCACACGTGTGCTAGAAGTTGTGAAAAATTTCGAAAAGGTCGACGCCTCAAAGGTAACTCCTGAATCCCACTTTGTCAATGATCTTGGACTTAACTCTTTGGACGTTGTTGAGGTTGTGTTTGCTATTGAGCAGGAATTTATCTTGGATATTCCCGATCATGACGCTGAAAAAATTCAGTCGATTCCTGATGCTGTCGAGTATATCTCACAAAATCCAATGGCGAAGTAAAATTCAGGGTAGCAAATATTATAGTTTATTTAATTTGTCGATTTTGCTAAAACTGTAAGAAGTAATTCATTTGAATAGAGGAAATTTTTATCTCAAGTATTAGTTGATAGTATTGTTCTAAATCTAGAGGAGGGTCGATGATAGTTTTGTGATTTGTGATAATCTACGTGAAATATGTATATGACAAAAATTGATTCATGTGTTTTAAATGATTAATATTGGAATCGTTAAGCGTCTTTTGTCGTTCTCTCTTTTTTTCCCATTTTTACACTCTTTCCTTCTTGAGAAAAGGAGTTATAACCTAGGCTTATGGCGGGCTAAATAGACTATTTTTTATGCTTTAGGCTATTTTATGTAGCACACTCGCGACCAGTGAAGTTTTTTGGTCAATACAAACGGACTAAAGTGATGCTTTTAGTTCTTTTTTTTTGCAATTCTTGCATTGGGTTCCAAATAAGTGATAACGATTTTTCACTTTAATTTTTCGTTATATCTAATGACAAAGCTTCAAGTCTTTTTTGCTTGCATTTTCTTAGAGGAGGGTAGTAACTCTCTGTCTTGGACGATCTCAGAATAATTTCGGGCAGACTTTTCCTCTGTTGAGAAGTGTTCCCGGAAGCATGCAACAATCACAAGGAAAATGGCGACCATAGTCGATTAGTTGATGCTCTTAGCTACATCGAACTGTACGAAATCCTTAGAAGTGCCTGGTTTGACTGCAGCAATAAACAGATAGGCCTGCTTTCCTCAAAATTCTAAAGAAATATATTTGAAAATACTTTCGTAGTTTTTTTTTATCTCAAAAGGGAGCGTGAGGTAGGAAATCCTCCAAAAAAAAAGATAAGAATAAGAATATCCTGGGTTATTTCCACTAAAAAGAAATGTGTATGTGAGTATATATATACCATCAGCTGTTCACTTGACATCAACAGCTGCTCTTTGGGGATCTTAGTGATGCTACTCCAATATGATAGAGAGTCTTGGATTCAGTGCTCCTAAACCTAGGACGGTAGTCAAAATTCCCACGAAAAAAGAGGTGTTACCTAACACGTCTGGCGTAACTCTTGGTCACATACCGAGTAACCGCAACGAACTAAAAATTCAGCTATTTGGATAGAAGAATGAGAAGCATCCTAGCATCAACACTTTGTCTATATGGGGAAAAATACGCCGTTGAAGAGAAAGACTACGATGAATCATCTCATGGAAAACAATATTCTCAAATCACAATCTTCGTAGGGAAACTCTTAAGATTTTTATCCTGACCAAATCATTGAATACTGTTGATGCAAAAGAATACGAAATGAATGGTGCTGTTACTTTTGTTTCATAAAACGATGTTAAGCAATGCATTGGTGAAGGTAAACACTTCGTTTTGCATAGCGAATTATGTATGAAACAAAAGCAACTCTTATTTTTAGTTAAACCATTAATTAATCAGATGAAATTAGGAGGGAAATACCTACATGTGTTTCAATCATTATCTGTGACCGAGTTCGTTGAAGTCGTCAGATTTTCTGACCAATATCCCTGGTCAAAAGGGAAACCATATTGAACTATATGTCATCCAAAATATTTTGCCATTTGATTAAAAAAACAATTTGTCAACAGTGTCACGGCTTAGATTTTCCCTTTTTATTCTGCATCTGTTTTTCTTCACATTTTTGAAACAAGAAAATGTTAATAATCTTCTTTTTGCGTATGATATTATGTGAATAACTATTTGTGAAGCGTTTTTCATTTGTTGTTCCTTACTTCGTTATAAAGTCGAATATAAATAGGCAAATCGAATGCCTCCTCTACATAATATACTTCCGCTTAAATGTGGATTCTGTTACTTGAATTTAGATGAATTATATTTATCTATTTCTAATTTTTTTCTAGTCCATGCACAATTCCGAATCTCTCCATATGGAAGAAGGGGTAAATAGCGTTAATGAAAATCATATCAGCATTGAGGAAAATGCTAATGAATATTTAATTTCAAATCATATGACCTTTGTGTAGATGTATTGCATTTAGTTTAATCATAAAACGGTAAATGCTTTCAAAACACATCGATTACCCTTTTGTTGAGTAGTTGATGATATCCGTATGGTAATTTATTAATTGCGTAGTAATGAAAGCAGGCGCATCTCCAGACTGAAAGTACTTTGGTCTTTCATAGATGGTATGTTTGAATTGTATTGACACACTTTGAATCTAAAGACATCTGAGCGAATTTGTATCTACGCATAAGCCCATACTTTAGTATATAACGTGGTTTCCAATGTAGATTAGCTATTCGTCAGAGCTCGTGAAATCTGTCACAGCGTGTAGATATGGAGTTTATACTCATATTACTTAGTATTCGTTAGTGTTCTCGTGACTTTCAAAGCGAACCACGTTTTATCACTCCTTATTTTTTCTATGCTTCTACTATTTCTGCTCAAGTCTCTGCAAGCTATGTGCTAAAGGAATGCATCAACTCATATTGGGCAAACTAATAAAAGGGGATCTAATTTGTTTCAAATTTGTCAAGATTAGTCTGTGCAAAAAGAGGGTAGATTTTTATTGTTTCACCTTCTCAGTCTGACATATTCCATTCTTTTCTCGAAAACCATTACACTTAGCTTGTGTGTTTAGCTTTTTGAATACTGAGGCTATTTATATGATTTTAGTTTATAGCTCAATAGATATTGATGTCCTATCTTTTGATCGAAAGTTACTTATAGGCCAACTGTCAGAAACTCTTTGTGACGGAAATACTACCGTATTTAATTACGTAATTTTTGATGGCGTTCCGATAAAAAACAATGAAGTTATTGTTGAGCAAATTGAATGTCTTGAAGGAATACTCCCTCCCGGGCTAGTTGTTCTAGGAGCTACTTCTAGAGAAGCATACAATAGTAGCTCAATCACAAATCTACTTTCTGTTTTATCGGAAAGTATCCATTTCTCTGAATTTATTTACATGCAGCTTGACAATAGTCAACTTCACGTTACATTGTGTAGTGATCCAGGAGTATGTGTGACTTTTAAGGGTCAAGGAGGAGTTTTCTGCACTTTGTCATGTGCGGTGCATCTTGCCTTGCCACCATTTCCATTTTTACTTATGAGAAGCGGAGATATGGGGGAAAAAATTCTTATCGATCCTCAAAGTACTAAGCGTATTTCAGTTCAGATGAACTCGGAGGGAAGTTGGTCGCTTCACCAGCTAGGGGGAAACTCCTTTCACACTGAAAAAACGATGCTAGTGTTTTCAGCTTTTTTAAGTCTTCCATACTTGTCTGGCAACTCTTTCTACAACTGTATCGATAGATGGATGAGGAATATTAAGAAAACGACAGATATCATCTCTGTTCAATCACAACGCAATCCCAGCCTGATTTATGCTTGTCAATTTGACCGATGTATCCCGTTCCGATCCAGACTCACTCAGGTTGAGTGGCATGAGTTGCAAGAGCTTTTGGAGGACGCAACAGGCGAATTAATTAAGAGTAGTCAGCTTATCGGGCTTATTGTCACACCAAATCCGGCTTGTGAGCGGGGAGAAATGCCACCTCGAAATAAAGAATCGAACAAGTTTATGCTCATAATTACCATCGGACTTGTTGTTCTGGCGATCATGATCACTATATTAATGCGTACTTGGTGACACAAAAGAATGAGAGTAATATGAGACAAGCTTAATTACCAAGGGGGAAATCTGAGCAGGGGAAAACGGGTACCCTGCTATAGTACTTCAATTGCTTTCTCCATTTAAATTCTTACATCGTCTTTCTTGTATGTCCGCTTTCTTATTGATATCCTACTTGAATCTTTTTTCTCAATATGTTGCACATTCAAAACTGAAGGAGTTTCTATGTGTGTTTCTGTTGGAATTACTAATCGCTACAATGGGGATTCTTGGACTTTCAAAACTGCTCTACGATAAAGCTCCCGGTGCTTTCAAGGAGCAAGAGCTGAAAAATTATTTCGGGCGATGCATAGCAATTGATGCCTCCATGAGTATTTATCAATTTATTATTGCTATGAAGGGGTTTCAGGATGGCCAGGGAATAGAGTTAACGAATCAGAATGGTGAAGTTACTTCTCATTTAAATGGATTGTTCAACAGGACTTTGCGTATGGTTGATGAAGGGATCAGGCCGATTTACGTTTTCGATGGATCACCTCCTAAATTGAAGGAATACGAATTGGAATCGCGCCGCCAACGGGCGAACACGGCTGAAAAGGATTTTGAGCGTGCCAAAGAAGATGGGGATGATGAATTAATGGAAAAAATGAGCAAACGCACTGTGCGTGTGACATCGGAGCAAATCAACGATTGCAAAAAATTACTGGGGCTTATGGGCATCCCGGTTGTCCAGGCTCCATCTGAGGCGGAAGCGCAATGTGCGGAGTTAGTTCGTAAAGGAAAAGCTTGGGCTGTAGGAACGGAGGATATGGACGCATTAACGTTCGGCTCAAACATCATGCTGCGACACCTTAATTATAGCGATACAAAGAAACGTCCGATTACGGAAATACATCTTAAGCAGGTTCTTCATCTCACAGGCATGTCGATGGATCAATTTATTGACCTGTGCATTCTTCTAGGCTGCGATTACGTGCCCAAAATACATGGTGTTGGTCCTCAAAAAGCTTGGGAGGGTATCCAAAAATACGGTAGTATCGAGGGATTGCTAGAGGCATTAGATGGCTCCAAATATCAGGTACCTTCTGGTTTTATTTTTAAGGAGGCGCGAGATTTCTTCAAGCATCCTGATGTTACTCCTGGAGAGCAGGTATCTATCCAGTTTAAGGAGCCAGATGAGGAAGGTTTGACTCACTTCCTTGTGCATGAAAAGTTATTTAACTCTGAGAGAGTCGCAAAAGGGATAATCAGACTGAAGGAGTCTCTGAAAAGAAAAACACAGGAAAGGCTTGACAATTTTTTTACCATAAAGGCTATTCCAAAGGTGGATACAAGCCAATCGTTGGTCGGTTCGAAGCGTGTGCGAAATGCAGAGAACGACAAACCCTTTCATCCTTCTGGTACGCTTAGAAAAGCTAGCTTAGGACATAAAAAGTCAGTGAAAAGGACGTAATCTAACTGGTAATCACGCAGCTATTTTATCATCGCGGCCAACTGAATGCCCCTGGCTAAATATCAACGACAATAAAGCACTAGCGATTAAGCAAAACAGAAAAGACACTACGGTTGAAATACCACTTCTCATTGTTCTTTCCTCTAAAAGGTGCACAAGCATTTCTTTTTCCTTTTAATCATAACAAGAAAAGTGAAATACTAACTATGTCTGGAGCGTTGGGGCGCGGCTCTTATCGTTCTGTTGTAGCTGGAACTCGTCTAAATAATCTACCAACGTATTATCCATGTGCGCTAGAGCTTATCGAGCTACACAAGACTCATCAGGAAGTCTTACGCTTATTTTATGTGAGAGATCGAGTTTTCGATAATAAGTTTCCTGGTTGTTCACTGGCGAATGGACTTTATAAACTTGTTCCTAACAAACGCGAAAGCTTTCATTCAAAAGAAATAATGGAGTCAATTCGACGACGGACAATTTGGATGCAGAGAATACGTCAGCAACGCGCGTTGAATACTACTATTTTGGATCGTGCATCCAAGGCACCTCCTTCTACTCAAGTGAAGGCACGTTTTTCATACAAGACGGTTGACTCGGACGTGTACTTCAACCCTCTTAACTATACAGAGGCCAACAGCTGGCCAAACTACTGGCAGCATCCGACGGTGTCGCACGTTATACCTCAACCCAAGTGGGCGCGCATCCCAGAGTTGGGTGGTATCACCCGCGTGCAGGATTCCATTTTAGCTCCTTCGATGGATTACTGACGTTGTATTTAAAGAGCTCGCCAGGTATTATGGTCGTACTGAAAGGGCTAAAAAGAATAATGTATTTTTTTCTATCGTAATTAGGAAACTGTGCTCAATGGGACACCAAAAGTATTTTTGAATTCTTTTTCTTCTTTAAAATTTTACTAGTTTCGACACTATGATTAATGAGGCCTGTTGATGTGGAAAAGTTCTGGACATACTGTGCAAAAGTTGGAGTGGTGAGTAAGAAACTATCGTTTCGCACGTCATCACCACCTTGGGGTCCAGTCTCGGTGTTTGTGGATGAGCCTGTAGCCTATGGTAGCCCCATTGTGGTTGTTCCCTATCAAGCTGTTCTAAACTGTCAAACAATACGAGGCAACCGCGTCCCGTGGAGCCTCCCTACGTTCTACAAAATGTTCCAGTTTCTGACTAGGAGAGGTCGAATGGATTCTGAAACAGCACAGTGCCTATGGCTTGCGTCATATTTAGCTACCCATCATAAAAATATGTCCTCTTCGAAACCTTTGGCTCCATTACTTTCCTTTGGTTTAAAAACTGAGTTATCATCGCTCTTTACACCCGAGTTTGCCACTTCCTGCCCTTTTGTCGTAGAAGCTCGGGACGATGCATCACTTTGTCGTATGGACCGTTTAGCCACATTTCACGTTCACCTTGCACACACCATGATTCAGTTTCACAGAAGACGTAAAGGTATATCTTCTGCGTATGAACCCACATTGCATCAGCTTAGTTTAGCGTACCGAACCGTTATCAAGCACTCTCTACCCCTTCCTATCAATTGTGAGCCCTCAACCCCTGCGGAGCTGGCAGAGTTCATGGAGGCTACCCCGGATTTGACTATATTGCCTTCCCTCGTTCCTGTGGTGGATTTAATTAGACCTGTTCAAAATGCGAATAACGATAGTACTGGAGTCGAAGCCAACTCTGCAATTTTTACCTGTATACAATCCGACTTCGAATCACCCGTTACGCGACGCCGAATTGTCTTCGAAACAACACCGCTTTCTTCACGAAGAGTAGCAGTAATTGCTACTAAAAATTTAAAGAAAGATGATGAAGTCATTCTGGGTATTGAGTAGAGGTCTTTTCGAGACAACAAGAATAGCAACGAGAAGTTTTCACACATACACACACACGCATATATATGTATATATATATATATATATATATATGCATGAGTAAAAAAATGGAATCATAAAGCTAATTACACGTGATTAATCTCGTTTCCACTTGCTTGATACCCTGCTATGTTTCTTTGCTCCTGCCAATGTTTATGCTTCTATGCGCTTTTCATTTCCCTTCTTCCTTATATTAATGTAGATATTCCCAATATAATTGAAATATAAATTTACAACGTTACCCAAGATGGAGCGTTTATTCACACCTAAGGAAAAAAACTATAAAAGTTGCGATCTTGCGAGATCTGCCTTTAAGAATAAGGATATCGAAGCTTCACGTGCCGAGCACAGGAAACCAATTAATCATGAGAGCCATAACTCCTCCACATCTGACTATATCAAATCTATTGTTTTTGGAGGATTGGATGGTATTATGACTTGCTTTGCGGTGATTGCGGCTGCTGCGGGCAGTAATGGCAATTACGCAACTGTTCTTATCTTTGGGTTCTCAAACGTCATTGCGGATGGCTTTTCTATGGGCTTTAGCGAGTACATATCCGGAGCGGCTGAGCGAGAAAACGCCATCACTGAACGAATGCGAGAGGAATGGGAGGTTGAAAATGCATTCGATATGGAGGTGGATGAAATGATCCAAATATATGTTGACAAAGGGCTGTCTTTTGAGGATGCCAGCACAATCGTTTCTATCATTTCCAAAGATCACAAAGTGTTTGTCGACTTTATGATGGTTGAGGAGCTTGGTCTACTTCTGGATATCGATGATCCTCACGGTCCCAAAAAGCAAGGCACCGTAATGGCTGTCTCATTTATCTGTTTTGGTGTAATTCCTTTGTTTGCTTATCTGTTTGGAGAGGGTCAGGGAATGGACAGGATTTTCGCATTTTCCACTTTCTTGACAATGCTTTCTTTGGTACTTCTTGGAGTTTTAAAAGGATACTTGGTCGGAATTAGTATTTTTAAATCGGCACTTCTCATGATTGTAAACGGTTTCGCTAGTGGCGTTATTAGCTTTACAGCTGGTTATTTGATCGAGGAAGCGTTGCGGCGTGAGGTGAGAGCGTTGTAATTATTAATTATTTTACTTTCAAATAGACGTTATAAGCTTTTCCTGTGGCCCTAGAGGAAAAGGAATATAGGTGAAATCATAATTTGGGATAGGCTGAATCGATTCTTTACTTTCATCACATCTATATATACATATATATATATATATATATATATATATATATA